TCGAGTACGAAAACACCACAACAAGAAACGACAAACCGAAATAAAGGTTCGTTTGTGCATGTGTCTTGCAGTACAATCACCAGGAGAGATATTTGGAGATAACTTGTGGCCATGCCCCCCCTCATCTTCATCTGACGGAGAATGTGGAGATACTGGAGATACTTACCAAATGTAAGGTGACTGCCACACTCTCTTTGCCACGTGGAGAAACCACAAGCCACCTTGAAAGTAAACAAAAAAAATAACATTAGACAACAACCCGTGCACAATTACAGTAGGCGTGTGCAAAAAAGAACAGTTTTTTTGCGGCTGGAACTGCAACCAGAAGGAGTCGCTCACTGCTGTAACTCAGTCCATTGTCTCACCGTCTGCGACATCAAACTCCCCCTGGTGGTACACCTTGTGACAGCGGGAGCAGACGTGCACGAACAGCTTCGGGTGGCACCTCACCTGATTGTGGGGTTGGCTGCGTACCACGGAAAAAACCATGGAACAGCAGGCACCACACACAGGAACACACGAGACGAAAAGGAAGGGGGTATATGGGAAGAGAGCACCACGGATCCGGAGGTGTGGTACAACAAGGTCGAGGGCGGGGCGGCATGGTTCATGAGGAAATGGCACAGGCAGGAGGCGGAAGCGTCCGCGAAGCGCCAGCGCGCGAGGGAAGCAGAAGCAGAGAGTACGGCCATCTCAGGACCGAAGAGAAAGAGAGTCGGGGAAGCGGTGGTGGGGGGGAAGAAACTGCGACCGGGCACTGCTGTAGAGGCGAGTAGGGCGGCCGAGGCAGCACTTGTGGCGAACTATGTACCCGGCTGATGTTGTTGCGCCCTGTTTCCCTCCCTGCTGTATGCTATACTCCTTTATGTATGTCCTTTGTATTGCCTTCGGCCTCTGTGCTGTGTTTCTTTTTTTCATGACCTCCCTGCCTGCTCTGCTGTGTTGGGTACCTTGATCTCGCTTTGCTGTTGCCTTTTTTTTTGTACGTCTGGCTGTCTGCCCATCTGCCGCCTCTTTGTCCTGTTTGCTCCGTTACTCCCATGCCCTGGTGCGTAGTGCCTGGTGCTGGTACGATACCCTTTGATTTTTTCTTCAGGCGGGTGTGGGAAGCGTCCTCCTTTGTTGCTGTTTTTGTTTTGTTTTATTTTGATCGGTTTCCGAGGCCTCTTTTCTCGAACGGTCGGTGCGATGCCTGTTCTTTTCTTTCTAACATTTCGTTTTCGTTTTCCGAGTGGTTTGTATCCTATCTTTTTTTGTTTTGTTTCCCCGCGGCGTCGTATGTGCCGGGTTTTGAGACCACGGGCTCCCCATTTTTTGTGGACTATAGAGCTAATGTGAGAAACAAAAACAACAACAACAACAACAACAACAACAACAACAACAACAACGGGGGGCGGGGTGCGACCAATGGGTAAGGGTACCAAAAGGCGCGATTGGGACTGTGGAACGACAGGGATACGGGTTCGGGAAGGGTTGGTTAGTGCTGCCGTAAAGGGGTAATGTAGCTCGCAACAGTATGAGGTATACAGACAGCTGCGGAGGAGCGGGCAAAATTGAGGTCCAAGGGCAAGGGACGAAACAGCTTGAGACGAATAAGGGACACAATGTAAGATCGTGACAGGGGCAACAGGTGGTAAAGGCCGGGAACTGCAGTGCAACGTTCGACAACATATGACACACAGCGTTCGATGACAAAAGGCACAGCAAGGTAACAATCGGTGTACAGGACGGCATCATCGCCTTTCTGGCCATGATTCGAGCTCCCTGCGATAGAGAAGACTAACTCAAAACATGAGCAAGGCCACGAAAGAACGCCGTGATACCCCCCCCCCCCCCCCCCCCCC